CGTTTTACCGTTTCATCGGTTCACGTTTAATGGATTTCTCAATACCGGCACAAGTTTCTGCTCGACTGCTTGGTCTTCCACTTGTTGGTGCATTGAGAACGGTTCCCAATGAAACAGCCTTTATCTCTTACGACAGCAAAGTTGGTCTCAATGGTGATGGTTTTTCAAAATGAACAACAAATTGGTTTATAATCCCCGTTCATTGCTTTGTTGTTATGACTACTTTGATATACCCACCCTTCAACTGTAAACACACTTGCCACCACATCTAACTCACAACGTCAGCATCGCAACTAACAGTTGTCTGTCTACGTGACGCGCCAGGTGCCCCTGACGATGCACACATGCGCCGCAATGCCAACAAACATTGTCGCGGTGCAGGAACATTATTATTATTATTGTTATATACAGTGACTTTCTGGTCACTCTGCATATAAAAGCCAAAATTCTACTAAAATGGATTAACAGCTTAAAAAAAATTAATTTAAGGTGCAGTTTAAGCAGAATATCACGACGAGTTGGAAATAAACAAATAAAAGAAATCATTGGGACAAAAGACATGTTGAACAGTAACAGTTAAGATGGTGTGGACATGTAGACCGAATGAATATGTCGCGACTTCCCGAAAGAAGAATAAAATTTAAATTTACTTGTTATACTTTCTGTGTGCAGTTATTATTGTATTCTATATGTTCTATCTGTTTTAGTGATTTTCTAAATCTTTGCACCATATCCTCATATTTCTACTTTTTTTACGTTTTGTTTTTCTATTAACTACTTTGTCAGTTAACCTTGGTACTGTATTGCATTTTAAACTTTACCATTCTTTATTAATGTATTTAATATCTAGTTTTTCCAAGTCTCTCATTAGCCTTTCTTGGTTTCTGAAAAAAAAAAACCGTTTATTATTTTAAGATTATTAAATCAATATACTTATAGCCAAATCAGCTATTAAAGTTTCTGAAAAATATGAGGACGTAACATCTATTATACTTATTTACAGCAGTTTTAAGAATTTTATAAAATAATTTTGATTTGTCTTGTATATAATATGAAACATTATAGAAAATTTTTTTTCTCCCATAATTTGCACGGAAAACTAAACCGCTTGTCAAAGAAAATTATTAATTCTTCCATATATTATTAATATCCCAGTTATTTATGTTGGCTATTACTTCGTATTAGAAAAATGTCAACGCCCGCACATACGAATCAATTTATTTACCAAGCCATTTACATGCTACACCACTTTTCTGTATTGATATTCCCAAACCTGGAAATAAAAAAGTTTGTATTAGCCTCTATTCCAAATCGCTATTATTTATGGAGGACAGATAAATATCTTATTTACTTTCCGTGCCACAGACCATTTAGGTTTCAGAGGTCATCGGTAACACTTGTCCGAATTGGATTCCCCAAAATCGATACCGGGGGTAACAACAGAAAGGTTGGGATTTTCATTAATATAAAGCTAATCATTAATAATTTGCTTTATTAAATATTTATGAATTGCGTAATGCTCAAACAACGAATGAAATAATATTTGTTTTATTATAAATATTGAATTAGTTGGCGAATGCTCCAAATAGATTAAAAATGAGGGTTTAAAAAATATCAGATCAGCGGTTTTATTACTGGAATAAAACGGATGGAAAAC